GGTGGACTATGAGAAACCAATGATGCTCTATTGTGACAACCAAGCTGCTATCAACATTGCACATAATCCTGTTCAACATGACAGAACTAAGCGCATTGAGGTTGATAGGCATTTCATAAGGGAAAGAGTCTCTTCAGGAGAAGTTTGTTTGCCATTTATCACATCAGAAGAGCAACTGGCTGATATCTTGACCAAGGGAGTTTCCAAAGGGAAATTGACACACTATATAAGCAAGCTGGGCATGATTAACATCTATGCTCAGATTGAGGGGGAGTGTAAAGAGACTAGGCCGAATGGGCCCTAACAGCTGCTTGTGTGATATCCTTTATTTTTATCTTTTATTTTATGTTGATGGGCCTCACTTAATGGGCCTGTTATTTGTTCTTGTTTTATTTTCTTTATGTAATTGTCAAGCTGGCCGCCCACTTAAGGGCATACTTGTCATCATTATTTTTTAGAGATTAATAAAATAGGGTTAGAGGAGAATGGTGAATTATTCGACTTCTTCTCTTACCTCTTCTCTTCAACATACACAGCTCTTGCACTATTATTCAGATCTGATTTGCACTGTTAATTACTAATTTTAAACCTGATATTAGAAAACTGATTTACATCTAAGACTAGCTAACCCACTTATTTGAGTTCTAATTTATTAAATGTTATTTGGATTTTAAAAAAAATGCCTTCAACAACACCAGAACCAATATTTTAATCCAAGTATGAAGTTCCAGGTAAATTTAAGTCTACGTATGTCCTATGTGTATCTCTGTATCCGTATATGTTGTAACTAACAAATAATAAAAGAACAACTATATTTGCACTATATAAAACGAATAATGTATCTTTATGTGCATTTTAGAAGTAAATAAAGATGAGCATTTTCATGTGTCCACTACACATCAACACATGTCATCTTGATATGGGTCAATATCCTACACGAGCAGCCTCTCCACTTTAAATATTTGGAGTTGAATAATATGAATGTGTAACTCATTGAATTTTTTTGGTAAATTCAGTAAGATAGCAAATGAATAAAATGGAACAGATATTAACAATGAGAGAAATCAATTTAAAATCATCAGTTCCTATTACCTAGAGGAAAACATACCCAAGGCCAACTGCAAGTTTCTGAGCAATTTTCTGGTTAATTTCTGTCGACTCCCCAACAATGTAGATTGAAGTTCCTTTAAGAAGTTGTGCAACTCCTACTGTAAGCGACTCCCAGGACTCCATGATGTCTGGCCACTTCAAGTCTGGATCTTGCTTTTTCAAATTGACTACAAGTTGATCCTCATCTAAGTACCTGTTGGAAACAGTAAGCCCAAGCTAACATGTGATCATTTTCTTTTAAAGAATAAGGAAATTCATGTAAGGAAGATCATACAAACCATATAGTTTCAGCAGGCTTTATCCTCCCATACAGATTATTAGTTTCTATAAGAGTTATGGGAGACTCAGTGCAGTGCTTTCTTATTGTTAAGGAACTCTCATCAGCATCCACGGAAATATCTCTAGAACTTTGAATATCTCCAGACCCTAGCTTTAATCTCAATTCTACCTCTGTAGCACTATCAGAGAACTGCATAAAGATTTGTATAAAGGTGCTTAGTGATTTACATAGGGTAAAACCAAATGCTCGTTTAAAATCAAAGGTTCAACCGAGAAAATTGAGAGGTTAAAATGAAATCATCAAAGTTTCATTAATTTCAAAAGTCCTACAATCAGATATACAATAATTTCACTAAACGTTCTAGTGTCTCTATTTGAATCATTAACCTAGATGGATTGAAACGTAGCTCTCAAGTTTTTAAGGTTAGGATAGATATTCAAATTCATATTCCCAATTCATTTGGAAGCTATCTGGCCTACATATAGTATGTGCAAAAAACACTTTTTAAAGTATATATGATGCCTTCTCCAAGTCTCTTACTTTAAAAGAGACTTCTGCTTAATAGTAGCATTTGGGTTTGTTTTCCTCAAAAGCTACTACACTAGAAATCTGTACCTGCAATAAGAAGAAGAAAAGGGAGAGAGGAAGGGGGGAGAGAGAAGTCTGGGGGAAGAAAGGTAAGGATTGCCCAACCAATTCATTAGATTATATACTTAACAGAATATAGAATGCAATCATATAAATACCCACACTAAGTTATTTACATCCCAAATATCACTACAACTATTTATTTAAATAATAATTTTAGCCTACACAATTCTTGCTTCACTATTTGGTTCTTTTCTGCTTATGACATTCAAAAAAAAAAGCTATCTTTACATTTTGTTAAGCATTTGTTCAGGGAATTCTTTATTGAGTAACATTAATTCTATTAATAATCAAATATTTATATAAATATATTAACATGAAATGTGTACGTAAGAAGGCATGAGGATGAGGGAAATGGAATCTAACAGTATTTTTTGCCTTTTTCTCATAGAAATACAAGAATGCCACTCTCTACCAACTCTCTCTCTTTTGCTTTTTTTTCTTTCAAATTACAAGAATGCCACACTCTCTCTTAGGGATGGCAATTTCCCCATCCCCGGCCCGATGGGGTCGAGGATGGAGATTTCAGTTTTCTTCGATTTTCTTCTAGCCTGAGTGGAAGCTCGACAAGAGGCCAAAAAGGAGTGGTCGTTTTGTGGTTTTGGAGGTAAGTATGCCTCCAGTTACTGTGGTGGTGGTCGTTGAGGTGGTGTACTAGATGCCCTCTATTCTGTGATACGAAGAGGGTTGTTTGTGGACAGGTATGAACAGTTTTGTTTTTCGCCCAAATAGTGGACTGTAAATGCTGTGTTTTGGTTCAAAATATTTTTTTGTGGAGGTTTGAAGTGATTAGTATGCATATCAGCCTTGTTCTCCTCTGTTTTTACCTCGTATGTGTGTTGAAAGTAAGGTTTTTCGACTGCTGAAGTTCACAACAGCAGTGGTGTGGTGGTGGTTGTACTGTGTTGAATGGTGTGTGGATGATTCTGAATAGTTGAAAGTAAAACCTTGTGTTGTGTGGTGGTGTTCATACTGATTTCTGTGGTGATGTTCATACTTCCTTGTGAGGTGAGCAAATTTAGTTGAAAATGTCGTCAACCAGAGATGGTAGTGACAACAAAACTGGGGTGATTATCTCTCCAGATTATCTGAATGCTCAAATGACATCCATTAAACTGAATGGTGAGAACTATGTGCCTTGGGTCAAGTCAGTGGAGGTGTTCTTAAAAGCCAAGAAGAAGGTGAAGCATGTGAGAGAGGAAAGACCTTCCTCTGACTCTCTAGGGTTTAGTGACTGGGGGGAGCAGGAGGATGCTCAAATTATGACATGGTTGTGGAATAGCATGGAGCCAAAAATCAGTATGAACTTTATGTTCCTAGATACAGCTAAAGAGATATGGGATCATGCTAAGAAACTGTATTCCGGGTAAGACAATACAACTAGGGTGTATCAGTTGTACCAAGAGTACTTCAATCTGAAGCAATGTAGCAAAGCTTGGAAGAATACTATGCAAGTTTGAGGAATATCTGAAATGAGCTTAATGTGTATCATCCTCTGACACCGGATGTTCAAGTTTAGCAACAACAACATGAGCAACTTGACGTAACGAGATTTCCGGTGGGTTTGAAGGCTGAATATGAACATATCCGTGCACAAATACTAGGGGGGTCTGCCCTTCCCTCACTTGAAGAAGTGTTTGCCCGTCTTAGGAGGACATCTATTAAGTCTACAGAGCATTCTTCCTCCTTAGATAGATCTGGTTTGGTTGTGGCTAGAGGTGGAGGTTGTGGAAATAGAGGTGGTGGTGGTGGTGATGGTGGCCGTGGACTTCCAGGAAACCGAGGTGGTCCCATGTTTAACCGGGCTGGTGACCGGAGTGGATGTCGAGACTTAGGGGGAGGTCGTGGTAAATGAAGAAGTAATGCTCCTAGGAAGTGTACATACTGTTGATTAGAGGGGCACACTATTAATTTCTGCTATGATTTACATAGTCCACCCAACACTTGGGTTGACCATACTGTGACTAGGGGTAGTGGTATAGTTAGTGAAAATCAGCAAACGGATCAGACTCCCTCCACATCTATTGGTGCTTCTGGGAAGGAGATGGTGAGTGTACCTCATGTAGTATATGAGCAGTTCCTTCTGACATCTTCTCAGGAGAACACAGCTACCCTTGCCCATTCAGGTATGGCTTGCTTGGCTTCCAAGCCTTCACACTAGATCATTGACTCCGGAGCCTCAGACCATATGTCTGGGACTCCAAGCCTTCTCTTCTCTTTCTCGATCCTCCATATCTCAAACAATTACTCCTGCTAATGGTTCTACATCTCCCATTTGTGGTGTTGGTGATGTTGATCTCTCCTCCTTATCTTTATCATCTGTTTTATATGTTCTTAAGTTCCCTTTTAACCTAATGTCTGTTAGTAGATTAACCAAGTCACTTAATTGTTCCATAACCTTTTATCCCTTTTCTTGTGTGTTTCAGGATCTCAAGACGGGGATGAAGATTGGTGGAGGGCATGAGGCAGGTGGATTGTATTACCTTGATGGTGGTGGTCCTCTAGTAGCCTTTCAATCGTCTCTTACTCCTCTTCAATGGCACTGCAAACTTGGCCATCCTTCTCTCAAAACTTTGAAGTTGCTGGTTCCTTCTTTGAGTCATCTTTCATCGTTGGATTGTGAATCATATTAGCTTGGGAAACATCATAGAGTCTCTTTCAGTCCAAGAGATGATAGTCGTGTTTTGAGTCATTTTTCTTTAGTTCATTCTGATGTTTGGGATCCAATCTAAGTGATGTCATACAATGGCTATAAGTATTTTGTCATTTTTGTTGATGACTTTTCAAGAATGACATGGATTTATCTTATGAAAGATCGCAGTGAATTGTTCTCCATTTTTCAAAAATTTTATGTTGAAATACGTACACAGTTTGGTGTTCATATTAAAATTCTTCGCTCCGATAATGCAAACCTCGTGTTCCTACAGCCCACAACAGAACTTAGAGCATCATGGGATAATTTATCAAACCTCGTTTTCACAAGAGTACATCTCAACACCATTTCAGCAATACTTAGAGCATCATGGGATAATTCATCAAACCTCGTGTTCCTACAGCCCACAACAGAACGGTGTAGTTGAACGCAAAAATCTACATCTCCTTGAAACTTCTCAGTCTATGATGCTTAATATGAATGTCCCAAAGAGTTTTTTGAGTGATGCTGTCCTCACATCATGTTTTCTGATCAATCGGATGCCCATGTCCATCCTTGGAAGTCAATCCCCCTTCTCCGTGTTTTTCCCACCTTGTCCCCATTTCCTCTTACCCTGAGAGTCTTTGGGTGTGCTTGCTTTGTTCAAAATTCGGGTCCTGGTTTAGACAAGTTAGATGCACGAGCTACTAAGTGTATCTTCCTTGGATACTCCAAGACTCAGAAAGGGTATAAGTGCTATAATTCTAACTCCTATAAGTCATTTGTGTGCTCCAATGTCACCTTCTTTGAATCGGTTCCTTTTTTTCTCGGGCACTGTGGTTCCTTCTCCTTCCCCTGTAGTTCCTCTTCCTGTCCCTGTTGATGATCATCTTCTCGTGGTCCCCATTCCAGTTGTAGTTCCTCCACCCGTGCCAGTTACTACTAAGAGGCCACCAATCAAATAAGTGTATACTCACAGAAGCGCACCGGCCCCTCCTCCAATCCAGCCCTCGTCAATAGATCCTATGGTTGCTTCTCCCTCGGACCTTGATCTTCCTATTGCCCTGCGGAAAGGTAAACGCACTTGTACTTCTCATCCTATTTCACATTATGTTTCTGTTGCTCACCTTTCTGCTTCTCATCGCAACTGTATATCATTGTTATCATCTGTTTCCATTCCCAAGACTGTCTAGGAAGCCCTTACCTCCCCAGGGTGGCGGCAAGCAATGGAAGAGGAACTATCTGCTCTACAACACAACCACACGTGGGAACTCACTACTCTTCCTCCTGGTAAGCATGTTGTTGGGTGTAAGTGGGTCTACATAGTGAAGTATCTCCCAAGGGCTATTCTCAGTTGTATGGTGTAGACTATATGAAGACATTTTCTCCTGTGGCTAAAATTGGTTTAGTTCGGGTGTTGATTTCCTTAGTTGCTATGTATGATTGGCCTATTTTGCAACTAGACGTTAAAAATGCCTTCTTGCATGGTGATCTCATTGAGGAGGTGTATATGGATCAACCACCGGGGTTTGTTGCTCGGGGGGAGGATCATAAGGTTTGTAGACTCAAAAAGGCAATTTATGGACTATAACAATCTCCACGAGCATGGTTTGGCAGGTTCAGTGAAGTAGTGAAAAACTTTGGGATGAAACAGTGTCAGGTAGACCATTTTGTGTTCAGCCATGATGCAAAAAACGGGAAAATCTTGCTAGTGGTGTATGTGGATGATATTGTCATAACTGGGAGTGACAATAATGGGATTGACAGGTTGAAGAAATTTCTACAAGACCACTTCAATACGAAAGATTTGGGTAAGCTAAAATATTTCTTGGGAATAGAAGTTGCAAGGTCAAGACATGGAATTAACTTATGTCAAAGAAAATATGTTCTTGACTTACTTGAAGAAATAGGGTTGTTAGGTGCTAAACCAGTAGAGAATCCTATGGAACTAAATGTCAAGTTGAGTGTTCATGCAGGTGAGGAGTTTGATGATCCTGGAAGATACAGGAGGTTGGTGGGAAAGTTGAATTATCTGACTATTACCCAACCAAATATATCATTTGCTATGAGTATGGTGAGTCAGTTTATGCAACATCCTCGGATTCCTCATTGGGAAGCAGTTCTAAGGATTGTTAGGTACCTGAAGGGTGCTCTAGGTCGTGGTTTTCTATATAAAAGTGGAGGGCCACTTGAGATAGTAGGGTATACAGATGTTGATTGGGCTGGTTCTGTATCAAACAGGAGATCAACTACAGGGTATTGTACCTTCCTTGGTGGCAATCTTGTAACTTGGAAGAGCAAGAAACAAAYWGTGGTGGCAAGGAGTAGTGHARAAGCTGAGTACAGAGCTATGGCTCATACCACATGTGAATTGGTATGGTTGAAGAACTTGCTACAAGAGATGGGGTTCTCAGTTGACAAACCTATGAGACTATACCGTGATAACCAAGCAGTTGTTCACATCTCTTCCAATCTAGTCTTCCATGAGAGAACCAAGCATATTGAGGTTAATTGTCACTTTGTAAGAGAGAAAGTGATCAGTGGAGTGATAGCCACATCTCATGTGAACTCGGGAAATCAGTGGGCAGATCTCTTTATAAAGGGATTGTTCCGAGGCAGAGTAGATTATATTTGTGACAAGCAGGGACTATATGACATATACTCTCCAGCTTGAGGAGGAGTGTTAGAGTTCACAAAACAGGGGTATTTTGGTCATTTGGGTGTATCTGTGTGAGAGTGAAAGGTCTATTTTATTCAGGTCCAAGTTGTGTGCCCCATCACTTATGAGGGGCAATATAGTCTTTCTTGTAACCAAACTTATTTTGAGATAAATACAAGTGGGTCGACTAGAGAGGACTATTTTTTCCTCATCTGGATGAACCCTTCTCCTCTTTCTTCTTCTTCTCTTCTTCTTCTCTACTTTAACCTAGAATCGAATAGGGATCTCTTGTAGTCCTCTAAACTCTCATTTGCTACAAGTATATGATCTGTTATTTGTCTCCCCTTCACAAAAGCTCCTTGATTGCTTGCTATGATAGTTGGAAGCACCTTTCTAATTCTAAGGGACAGCACCTTAATGATGATCTTATAAAGGCTATTTACTAGATTGATCGGTCTGTAATCCTTTGGATGATTTGCATCACTTTTCTTGGGAACCAAAGCAATGAAGGTGGAATTTAACCCAGGGTTGATTACTCCTCTGGTATGGAATTCATCGAATACCAGCTTTAAGTCCTCCTTTAGTATCTCCCGACAATCCTAGTAAAAAGCCATCGTAAAACCATTTGGGCCCAATGCCTTTGATCTATCCATTGAGAAAGCCACTTCTTTTATTTCTTCCAACTCAAACTTCTTTTCCAACCACTCCCTATCTTCTCTCTTCAGTGTTGGCCAATCCAAACCTTCCAGCCACACCATTTATTTAGGGGCCTTCTAAATATATGCTTAAAATGATTTGCAAATGCTTCTGCAATTTCTCTTTGACTTGTGACAGTTTCCCCTTCAATCTCCAAACTGGTAATAAAATTTCTTCTCCTTCTGCTACTTGCCAAAGCATGAAAGAACCTAGTGTTCCTACGAGTCTCTTTTAGCCACTTGCATCTTGACTTTTGCGTCCAGCTTATTTCCTCGTGAAGAATATAATCCTCTAACTGTTTACTTAATCTCCATCTTTATTCCTTATCCTCTAATAGATTCTATTCCTTGATTCTTCCTTTTTGATATTGGAGCTTTTTATGAAACCGCATCCCACACCACACCACTACCGGATTACTCTATGACCACCGCTCTTTACTTTCTTAATGAAACTCGGGTGCTCTAACCACATGTTTTCAAATCTAAATGGAGCGCTACCAGCATTTCTCACCTCCTCCTTACAAAGTAAAATAAGCTCATCAACAAGAAAGCATAAGAGAGAGAAAGAGGGAATATGGATAAGGAGAAAAACTCCATGAAATAGTTTTTCAACAAAATTAATCATATGCCCTCCCAAAGATAGTTTTTATAATAAAATTAATCCCTTAAATCCAAAGATAAATGTATCCGAAGGTACTTTAATATTAAAAATCAAAACGACTTTCACATTTTCATCTTTCGTCTTCATCTTCAACAAGAAAGTATAAGAGAGAGAGAGAGAGAGAGAGAGAGAGAGGGAACATGGATAAGGAGAAATACTCCATGAAATACCTCGTAACTTATTGTGTCAACAATGCCCGATGAGAGACTTCTGCAGCAAACACGGCCGAATCTCTTAGAGAGAGCGACTCCTGTGGGCAGAAGATGGCGCTTCGGCAACGAGAGCGCATTGTTGATAGCGAATTTAGGTGCGCATTTGCAGATAAAGAGTTTGGGGAGCGAAAATTCTAGGGCTTTGATGACGTTTCCGGAGAGGAAGCAGGGAATGAAGAGCATGGAAGCAGCCATTAGTGTCAGCTGAGAATGTGAGAGATAAGACTAGTGCAGGAGCCTTTATCCATTGAGAGCAAGGAACCTGAACAGTTACTATGGGAGATTAGGAGTTCCTGTTCCGCAACGGCTGATACTTTTTAGTTTCTTTATATAAAATATAAAATTAGAGAATGACGCCCTGTATATATTGAGTGATGACACTTGGTCCACCTGAATTTTATTTTGTTACAAAGACTCACTGAACTTCATAATTCTAACATTTTCCCCCATTCCGTTATCAGGATTGACGGTAAAAGAAAAAGATGTCCATTCAAAATTCAACTAATGAGACGGAAAGCTATCAAAATGATAAGAAAAAGTGCATGTTATATAAATACAACTAGCGGGACTTGTGCAATGCACGGGATTTATTAAGCGAAAATTAAATAATATAAATGAATATTTACTAAAATATCCTTTATAATTTCATAAATTTATTAAAATTTACCCTATAATTAGCATTTTACTAAAACACCACTTATACTTTGCAATGGATTTAATCAATAATCAATCTTATGTTAGAGGACTTTGGAAAATGATAGTCTTTACCTTAATGTTCATTTAAATAAATTTAATCAAAAGAAAATAAAAATAAAAATACATTTTTTATCCTTAATAAGACACGGGCAACTACTCTATTGGTTATATTTGGTCATTTTGGTTTTCTATGCCAAAAAAGTGTTAAGGGTATTTTTTGAATAAAAGATTATGGACCTAATGTCAAAACAAACACTCTTTAATGAAAGGTTGATTAAGTAAATAAGTTGTAAAATATATGGGATGTTTTAGTAAAATGAAAACTATAAGGTACGTTTAAGTAAATATATAAAACTATAAGGTGTGTATGAATGGCAACAAGGCGAAAATCATATTCTCCGTCCTCAACCCTGATTTTGAAATTAACCCCCACCCCTGATCCCCGATGGGGATGGTTCCCCGTGGGGACCCGAATCCCAAAAATGTTTTCAGATAATAGCATTTTTTAAAATAAATTTAGTTAAAATAAATATAAATTATAAATAATGTTTTAAATATGTTTTGATATATAATATAAATAATATAATAGTATGTTTAATATAAATAACATTTAATATATATATATATATAATTAGGGTCGGGGCAGAGCGGGGACCTCAATCCCCATCCCCGATCCCGACCCCAACCGAGGATTCCTATTAATCCCCATCCTTGCCCCTCGCCCACCAAAACAATCCCCATCCCTAGCCCCATCGGGTCGGGGAAGTCAGGTCCCCGTCAGGGATGGAGAAAATTGCCATCCCTAAAGGTGTGTTATAAGAAATATCTCTAATAGAAACACACAAGAGTACACAATTGTTTTATATTTTCAACTTTTTAAATAATTAATAATTATTCATATTTTATATACTACTCTTAATGAAATTTTTATAATACAAATTGATAAAAGCGGCCAACCCGATTAACTCGACATGAGTTAATCGGTTTTCTAGTATTTTATGTTGGCTTTGGCTCAAAAATTTCCCAATTCGACCAAATTGGATCAGTTTCACTTTGGCCATTTGTAAACTGACCAAAATCGAACGACCTAACCATGAGAATATATTAATATTTTATATTTTTAATATGAAAAAAGTGGGAAATTTCTCATATTTCTTAGTCTAATATATTTTATATCATAAATATACTTTTTAAATTTATTTTTAATAATTTCATTGTAATTTTTAAAATTTAATTTAATTTTTAAGTTTAAATCTTTTGAACCAACTGACCAAACCAAAAAATCGACCAAATTCGATACAACTTGAGTGGGTCACTTTTCACAAAAGGTTAGTCGGTTTCAACTGACCAACTCCCTAACCTGACCAAGTTAATTTGGTTGGCCAAATAGCCTATGACCGAATCGAACCAATTCATGAACACTCATAATTTCAACTAAATTAATAGTCACATCTTTCATAAATAACAATAGTTTAATCTCCAATAATTATTGAAAATTTATAGCGAAAACACTACAATAATTATAGAAATTACAAAAATTCAATAAGTACTAAAAATATATTAAATTAGTCAATAAATAGTATAATTTCAAATAATAGTTTAATCTCTAATAAATATTAATCAATAACTTAAAACAAAAATACAATAAGTATAATAAATTAAATTTAAAATTTCAATAACAGTTATTTAATCTCCAATAATTATTAAACGTTTTCTGTTAAATAACAAAACAAAATAAATTTATGCATAACTATTGAAAATACATTTATCACAAAAACAATAAAAAATTACTAAAAACAATAAATATTAATTTGTGTATATATAATTATATAATAAATATAGATTAAGATTTTAAAATTGTTATTAATAAATATTAATTTTTTGAAAGTTATTTTCTCAAGTTATTACTTGATATAAGTGAAATTAATTATTTACAATATTATGTAAAAATATTAAGTTATTACTAATTTCAATATTATGTTATAAGTATTTTTCTACTTTTTACATATTTTCTTTATTTTAACTATTTAAAATCTAGTTTTATTAAATATTTTTATTTAAAAAATTTAGTTAATTAAATACTTAAAAAATTTGTAAAATATTTAAATATTTAAATATTTAAATTTTAAAATATTAATTATTTAATGAATTTAGTTATCCATAAAATTATAATTTATACTATTATTACATAATTTCATTATTAATTTTGTAATATATTAAATATTATTAATTTCAATATTATGTTATAATTATTTTTCTACTTTGAAGAAATTATTTAAATTTATTACATAATTTCGTTATTTTAACTATTTAAAATCTAGTTATGATAAATATTTAGTTATTTATATATTTAAATAATCTATAAAATATTTTAAATTTTTTGTTATTTGAATTTGATTTATTTAAATCTATTATATTATTAAATATTTGAAAAAATATTTATTAATTTCGTGATATATTTTATAAAAATATAAAAATATTTTGTATGTTTTTAATAAATATTTTAAAGTTATTATATAATTTTGTTAAAATATTTAAATAAATCTTAAATTTTTTAATCTAAACTTTCTTTAGATAGATATAGATAAAAAGTATGGGAGAGGATAAATAGGAATTAGAGATAATTTAGGGGAGAAACTCTCTACTAAATTAGAGATAATTTTGGAGATAAAAAGGAATTAGAGATAATTTAGAAGATAAATAGGAATTAGAGATAATTTTGGAGAAAGTGGAGGATAGTGGAGGAAGTAGTTTAGGGGAAATTTTATGAGAAGATATTATTTAAGTTATTGGGGAAGTGCATCTCATTGGATGTTTAAAAAATGACATGGAATAAAAAAATAAAAAATTCAAAAAAATAGAAAATTTCTTGATTGCTTTGTTTATATATATATATATTCTGTTTTCGACTAAACCCTTATCAAAAAGACACAATATGTCTAGGGGTGTCAACGGTTTTCGAAAATCCAATTTTGAATTCGATATTCAACATAATCGAATCGAATTCAGATAATTTGAATATCTAATCCGTCAAATTCATATATGACCTTATTCGGATCGATAAATATCCGAATTCGGCCAATTATTTAATTCTTATATAATATATAAAATATTTTTATATAATAATTGATTTAGATAAATAATTTATATACTTTATATCAACAAAATATTTATTTTATATATTTATTAATTATCTAAAATAATTAATTAATCGAATTCGAATCGAATCGAATATTCAAATATATAATCAGATTAGAATTCGGATATTAATTTTCAACATCCATCGGATATCGAATCGGATTTGAATTTAGATATTGCTTGATCTGATTTGAATTCAATCCGTTTACAACCCTAAATATGTCAATATCTCTCTCAAATCTATATCTATACTACTTTAAAAAGCAAGAATAGCCTCAAAAGTATTTTTGAAAAATTTTCAGGATAAATTTTACCCCTTTTATATTTAAATTTATTGATAAAAAATGAACACAAATAGAATAATTGGTTATTGATATTAAATGAGTTGGAAATAGGTAATTTTAACATAACATACAATTCCCTCTTATTAAATCCAATATTTAAGGTATTAACTTGCATTCACCTTCATTCAATCATATATTTAAGGCATTTTTTTCATTATTAAATTCAATTAATTAAATTATACATAATAAATTAATAATTCTAATAACATAAAAACTTATACTTTTAAAATCTACCTAAAAATAGTGTTTTCATCTAGGAGATGGTAAGAAATTAAACCATTTTTGGTCAAATGGGCATATCCATGTTACCACAATTAAATAATAAAATTCAAAATAGATAACATGCAAAAAATATAGAAATTAAAAAAATGAAAACATTTTTAACATATATACGACATATTAAACAATAATAAGTATGATAAAAAATAAATGTTTTTATTAGTAATAGAAATGGAATGTAAATTTAAAACCAATTGAAAAAAATTATTTTCCTATTCTCTCTCATTAAATCTCATATTTAAGGTATATTCTCTCATTAAATCCTATTTTTAAGATATATTTATCTCATCATTAAATTCTATTAATTAAAGTCACAACATTAATTTTAATAATATAAAAATAAATATTTAAAAAAAATCATTTGAAAACAAAACCATTTTTCTTTGCTTCTAGTGGTGAGTAAGCAATTCAACCGTTTGGGGTCAAATGGGTTAATAAATATTACCTTAATTAAATAATAAAAATTTAAAATAATTAAAATATATAATAAAAAAAGAATTGGGTATATCTCTAACACTATATATTCATTATATAAAACAAAAATAAGTATGTAATGTATGAAGTATTTTTATTAACGATGAAAATGGAATTCCAAATTTAAAATCAACCTAGAAATGAAATGATGTCATAATCAAATAATAAGATATTTAAAAATAGAAAATCCAAAGAATCACAAAAATATAAAAAATAGAGAAATTTTGGGCACATATCTAATGCTACATATTTATAAAAAATAAAATGTTGGGTACATCTCTAATATTATTAATTCCTTACATTGAACAAAAATAAGTGTTATACATAAGAAATAATTCTATCACTGATGAAAATGTAA